GGGGTGAATGTAAGAACCTGCACCGTTAAAATAGGAATTAATTAAATAAATATGTGAATTAGGAAATAATTCCATAATTGACCCTAATAATTATGAGAAGGCTTAAAAAAATTTGGTAAGTGATTTATATTGTTGAAAGTAGTTTTTCTAACGAAACGTGCAGATATCGATTCTGCTTCACGGTATAAATGCGTGCCGATCAAGTATCCTGGAAAACTATAATAAGAGTGGGAATATTCCTAGAATAATATATAGGACTAGCATAAAAAGTTTCAGGTCGAAATAATGAGAACTGGTGCCAGAACTGATACTGACTATGTAAAAGCGCATACCAGAAAGGTGCTGTGAAAAATAAAATAAAAATATGAAAAATCTTAGAAAAATGAGTAGGTTCAGAATCCTAAGTTTGGGATTAAAATGCTAAGCGTAAAAATTAGCGCTAATACAGTGCGATTAAGTTTAAACCGGCTATAAATACAACTTTTGGCACATAACCCTAGGCCATAATCTGATTCTACGTGAGCCTTTGGAGCTGTGATCAGCCTCCTCCCTGTTCATGCCTTCCTCCCTTTGGAAAACCACCAAGTTGTCACCTTTTTTCTTGATTCTTCCCTCCTAATCTTGCAAACACTTAGTGGAGTGGCTTGTGAGTGTGTGCTGAGTGGAGCTTCTGTTTGGGGAGGTTTAAGGTGCTGTTTTCTGAGTTGTTGGAGAGGAGACCTTTTCTTGGCATTTTGAGCTTCAAGGTGTGAACTTTGAAGAGAAAGAACCTTTGTGGTGTGCCATTTTCGTGCACCTTCAAAGTCAGAACTTGAGGAGCTGTTGTGAGAGCTCCAAGAGCTTTGTACCTCTATTTTGAGCTTGGGTAAGCTTCACCACCTTTGATCTTGAGTTTTATTGGTTAAAAGTGGAGTTTTGACATGTTTAATGAGTTGTTTAAGTAACTAACATGAATATGAACCTAATAGGGTATAAAAATGCATACTTGGACGTAGTATTGGGTTAAAAGTTGAACCTTTGAGTGATATCTTCGCGAAAATGCAGAACTGCATTCTGTCGCGAAATATCCGGATATGGTATCCGGATATGATATTCGGATATGGGGTCTTGTGATATCCGAATATGGTATCCGGATATGGCCCCAACATATATTCAGATATTCTGGGTTTCCGAGGACAGTAACGGTACTGTTCATACAGAATGATATTTTGGGTTTTTGGACCCATGATGGGTCAACAGGGACTTCTGTATTAATTAATCTAAGTCAGAATCTAAGTGATTAAGGGCTTATGGCTTTGTGAGAAGCCTAAAGACATGAAACGTAAAGGAAATACGTTTTCTTTATGTCATATGCTTGTAGAGTATGAATATTGATATAATTGTTAGTCTAAAAAAGATTGTGATCTTGCTGTTTGTGGGCTTTGAGCTTGTGTGGACTCTTGGCTTGGATAGTTAGCTTGCAAGGTAAGCTTTCGTGTCCTTGGTTTAGCCATTGTTGGTTCCACCATACCCCATGGGGGAATGGTTTATATGCATATGTATTTTCATGTATTGATTTATTGAAATGCTTTTGAGCTGTTAAGTGCAAATGCCCTATGATATGTTCCTGTGGGCAGGTACGGCATTGGCGTGTACTATTGTGGGTTGTAGACGTACGTACATCCTACACTTCTCTGATCAGTAGAATAGTTAACACACATGACATGATTATCTGCTGCATTGCACTGATTTTTGAACTTATATGATATTACTGCTTTTGAACTTATATTGCACATGTAAGTGAGCTTGGGGTGGAGAAATCTTTGAGGACCCTTTGCCTTACTAAGATTTCTGTTTAGAGTTCTCACCTCACGTTTGGGGCACATATTTTAGGTTCAGGTAACCCAGGGGCTGAGACCTCTAGCGGCAGGAGGCCAGAGCTTAGTTGATTGATATGCTTGCTGATTATGCTGATGTCCCTGTTTAGTGTTTATGCCTTATCCATTATCATGTTGTTTGTATTGAGATTTGTTGGGTATGCTGTTTATTGGGTGAGCATGGGAATTGTCCATGCCACATTGATTTGACGATGTTTAAGTTTATTTGAGTTGTAAAAACTATCAGGATCTGTCCGATCTACATGTTGTAGTTCCGTGACTAGAGACCCACTTTCAGCTATATTTATATTGAGGTTATTCAGTGTAGATAGCTGTCCATTTGCAATTTACATATAGGGAATGTTTTGAAAAGGAACTAAGTAATCAACTTGGTTAATATTAATGACGTCATAATTGAAAAGAAAAATATATTCTGCATTTTTTAATTAAGCGTGGCTTAATACGATGACATGATAACAAACCGGGTATACACGGGGTGTTACAACACTCGTGAGAAATTTCGAGAGGAATCCATTGGTACTAGTATTTTTGGATAAGGTTCACTGTAGAGAGAGTTTTTCCTCCCCTAAGATTTTGAATTTCATGAAAAAGATGGATTTTGATGGAGTTTGAGGCCATGGGAGCTTAGAAACGCATCTCTCCTTTGTTCTAGAGTGTATTGGAGTAAGAAATTCCTTTCTTTTTCATCTTTTTATGAAGATTGAACTTAGGTTTCCATTTTGAAAGTTTGGCTTGATTGAGCATGTTAGAGCTTGATTGAGACTTAGCTCATGTTGAGAAAAGTGTTTAGATGAGGATTTTAACGATGAAAATGTATTTGAAAAATTTAAGATACTGTATTTTAGAATAGTAACATATACGTGAATAGTACTGTAGAGATGAACATTACCATATGGATGCATTGATGATGGATAATAATAGAAATGTGTTCCTTGGTTATAGTGTGAGACCAAGTTGACTTGTGGAGCAAGAGCATGGACATTGAGAAAGGCTCTTGAATACTTGAGATTGAGGTAAGTATCAAACAATGGTTTGATGTGAAACTTATATGAAAGGGATATATGTTTAGTTGTGATAAATTCACCATGGATAAGAGTGTTGGTCATTTGTTGAGCATTTTGTTGGCTTGTGGACCCTTTGACTTGGAAGAGGCTAGAAAAAGAGCTATTCCAAGTAAGCTTTCGATCCTTGGTGTTAATCTCCTGTTTGTTCTGTAAAACTCCGAGGGAGGGTGGTAGTTTGATATGGTATGTTGAAAATGATTTGTTATATGTTGCAGGTATATGTATGTATGTTTGTATGCCACACAAGACAATGTTTCCCCTAGTGAGGCATAAGACGGTGTTTCCTTATGCATAGTATGAGACGGTGTTTCCTCATATGGTATTTTGCAAGATGGTGTTTCCTTGCGTAATGGATACTTATTATATTCTCTGGCCAGTAGGATTACATTATTGCACACTGCATTGTCATACATATTCTGATGCGTGCATGGATATTTTATGTACTGTGATTATAGCATAAGTGAGCTTAGGGGTGGAGGAGCCCTCCAAGGGTCCCTAGTTTACCGAGGTAATTATATTATCTCACCCTGAGTTATGAGGATTACCATTTCAGGTACAAAAGCTAATGGTGTTGAGGCATCACGTGGCAAGAAGCCAGACAAGAGATATTACCTGACCTGATAGTCAGGATTAGCTTGTTATGCTGATAAGTATTTAGCATGGTTTTATTTTGGATATGTATCTACATGCCATGTCATTATTTTGAGAGCATAGGAGATGTCTATGCCATTTTGATAGTTTATCAATTTTGTTAGTTATGTCTGTATATGTCTAGGTTACTTATTTGATTACGTCTCTTTTGGTTGGTTGATGTAATCATGTAAGTAACTCTATGGATATTATTTTGAGATCTGTTATGATTATGAGATAGCATACGCCATGGATGGCTGGGTAATATAGTTTATGCTTGGATTATCTTAAACAATCAATCGGTTGAAATTATCATGGTGGGAAATGTCCCCAGTGGTTCAAAATACAGATGAAATGCTGTCCGTTTTATTTTGGTCATGGAAGTGAAAAAGTTTGCAATACATAAGGAAACAGAGAAAATTTATTCAGTTAGCTTCCGCATTAATTAAGTTGAGCATGTTGCGCTTACTATCATATGTATGTTAATACAACAAGTGCACACGAGGTGTTATATGACCATAATTAACAATCGAAGACTATCCGAATATGATAACCTGTACCATTTCGGATAGAGTGTCACGGACAACATAACAACTATAAACTGGACTAACCAGAGATAAAATTCCACATATTGCTTAATCCTGAAACTCAGAAAAGTCCAGACATATATCACAATCCATGCTATCATATTGGGAATCCATCCATGGATTCATACAGGATTTGGCTCCGTGCCAATTCTCTCATATACATACTTATAGATAACAGAACTAGAAACGTACAACTGAAAACATCATATACATATACGTCTCAAATCATATACAAATATATCAAAACATATACAGACATCTCTCAAATACAGACATCAGACTATACATATCCATGATCATACATTATGCTACAAAATATATGTATAGTCATCCCAAAATATCATGTCAAAATCCTACGCAGCTGAGACATCTAGTCCTGTGCAAGCCCCTTGCCATTGGAGAGCTCTCTTGCAACTGTTGGATCACCTGAAACATGTCCCCAAACAGGGTGATATACAACTATCTCAGTAAACTCATAGTTTATGGAATAGTCTCTACCCATGAATTCACTTCCCACATAAAAGGTCAGATACAAAGTATAGCGGATATCATTACATGGTTTTTACATGAATTAATGATGTACAAATTTTTTATTAATTAATTAACAACATATGTTGTTTGGTTGATAGGCTAATAATAAATTTCAATATAAATTTATTATTAACCAATTAACCAAATAATACATTATTAGCCAAAAAATTGTACGTCGTTTATCAACATAAAACTAGAATAAGAAAATTGGTGTCCAACACAAATATGCAATCAGCTAAAAAAGAAATTAATTTTGGAACACGTACAAAATAAATAACTCCATGTGTAGTTAAAAAATAAAATAATTTTGTCTACCTGGCATTCAACATGGAGATAGTTACTTCATTAATCGAAGATGGTGTCTGGTTCCCAAAATAAAACGCTCCTTTAGCTGACACCGTTTCTAGTAAGAAACGAGGCTCCTTCGGTTGAGGCAAAACATTCTCGTTGCTTAACATCACAACCACAGATGCCATACTTGGCCTATCATTAGGATGATGCTGCACGCATAGAAGACCAATGTGAATACACCGTAATACTTCAGATAGAATACACGAATCCTCCAAAGAAGCATCAATCAATTGCATTGGATTGCCCTCTTTCCACATTTTCCATGCCTACAACATTTTGAAATAATTGTCATTTGCCACTTCATTATAGGAAAAGTAAAGTCATTTTGTGTTACTCACATGTCCAATAAGATTATGCTCGTGGTTCGGATAAGAGAGCCCATTGTTTTTCTTGCCACTTACTATCTCTAGCAATAATATGCCGAAGCTAAAAACATCAGATTTGATGGAAAATATCCCATCAAAAGCATATTCAGGTGCCATGTAACCACTGAAATGAATCCAAAGAGAGTTAATTTGATGTTTATGTTATTGTGTGAAAAGAATTAATTTAGCATGAACAAAGATACGTACTGTGTGCCAGCAACTTTGCTAGATTTCCCTTCAATTTGATCATCTCCACACATTCGGGCCAAGCCAAAATCTGAAATTTTTGGGTTCATCTCATTGTCTAACAAAATATTACTTGGCTTAAGATCTCTATGTATGATCCTTAATCTTGAGTCTTGATGAAGATAAAGTAGTCCCCGAGCAATTCCATTTATAATGTAGAAGCGCTTAGGCCAGTCTAGAAGTTTACTTTGAGCAGAATCTGTCAAATTTGAAGGTTATCATCTTCTAATCTTGCAAAAACTATAAGAACATAATGAAATTCTACATCACTTAACAACTAGCTTATGTAAAGATACTAACCGAAAAGAAAGAAATCTAGGCTTTTGTTGGCCATGAATTCGTATATGAGCAATTTCTCATCTTCTTCAATGCAACATCCAAGAACTTTAACAAGATTCCGGTGTTGAAGCTTGGCGCATAATATAACTTCATTCTTAAATTCTTTCAATCCTTGTCCTGATGTTCGTGAAAGCCTTTTGACAGCAATCTCATGTCCATCTGGTAGTGTTCCCTAAAAGCATCACATTTGTTAGGAAAGTTAAATTAAATTAAGAGTAAATATTTTTTTTGGCCCTCACCAAATTTTACTATGCCCGCTTTAGTTCCTAGCAAATAAAAAGGACTATCGCGGTCCTTAAAAAATTCAAAATGGACCAATTTTAGTCTTTTTAGAGACTAATATAGATCTTTTTTTGAATTTATAAGAGAGTACGATTTCAACTAAATGAGTCTATTTTGAATTTCTTAGAAACCCCGATAAGTCTTTTTGTTTGCTAGGGACTAAAATGGACATCGTAAAATTTTTTGAGGACCCAAAAAGATATTTACTCTTAAATTAATAACAAATCCTGTGCTTCGTAAATTTTTAATTGTTGAAATCAAAGGAATTTTGCTAGAAAAGGAAAAAAGGAAAAAATATGACTCTCAGTAATATTGTATAAATTTAATAGCTATGTAATGTGAAATGATGCGAAAGTATACAAAAGACAAAATATTATAAAAAATCATGTAAGATATTTCCAAAAAAAATTAAAAATCATGTAAGACAGTTTAAGATATTCTAATATACAATAATAATATTATGAAATATTTCATAACTTCTTAATATTAATATTAATATTAATTATTAAGAGGTATGTTGCAAACTTACCTTATATACAGGCCCAAAACCACCTTCGCCAAGCTTCTTGTGATTTGAGAAGTGATCTGTGGCATGCGCTATTAAAGCAAATTCAAACAAAGGTACCTCAAGGTCTTCTTGTTCGCTTTCGTTGTTCTTTTCTTCTGTCCATGTGATGATCTCTGTTTTCCCACAAACAATTAGAATGAGAAAAATTATCTGTTACTCTGTGCTAAGAAAGTTGCTTTTTAAGATACGAGCCGTTTGGTAAGAGAAATATTTTTTTTACCGAGAAAAAATTATTATTAGAGATTTGGTAGGAATTTTTTTATCCCAGATAAATTACAAAAAAGTTTTTGGTTTGCCAAATTTTGCAGGAAAAGTTAAGTTAATTTTACTAATGCTATGTTTGGTTGATGGAAAAATATTGATGAAAATATGAATGAAATTATCAAAATACCCTAATTTTTTTGAATATGTCAAATGAGTCATCATCAAATGTTGCTTTTTTTTTTTGGGGAAAAGAGAATCAAATGTTACTTTTTGAGAATTCAAGATCAAGAAAAAAAAAAAAAAACAAAGGTTAAGTGGGAAAAAATTTGCCTTTGTGTAGTTCAAAAGAAAAATATTGGGTAAAAAATTTTGTTGGTATTTTGTTCACAATACCCATACCAAACATGGTAAATAAATATTATTCACCTCAGTTTAATCCATACCAAATACTCATACCAAACACTCCCTAAAAATTCAAATATTTAAGTGACTGGGTCTTGTGGTGAGAGGTTTTGGTAGGTTATATTTGATTATGTGTTTAATTTTTTCCAATGTATTCAAAAAAAAAAGGTTAATATTTTTTTACTTCTTACAAATATATTAAATGCTGGTTTTAATCTCTCTAAAATTTGAGTTTCAGTTTGTGTTTTTTTTTTCTTATTTTTTTTTAAAGTGATCACTTTTGGCCATTACTATTGTCATAGGAATAAATTTTTAGTGCCTCTCCTCATTTATTTTGTGACACGTGAATAAAAAATATTATATTATTTAAACAAAGTAAATCATATGATATTTTTTGTTCACATATTATAAAATAATTGGATAGATACAGTAAATGCACACTAAAGATTTATTCATTGGGTGCCAGCTGTCAAATAGATTCCCAGCTCACCATTAAGTGACATGTTAATATTTAGCAGACCTATGGCTATGTAACGGTGAGGAACGGAAATACTTATTTAAAAAAAAATAAGAAACACCAATTAAAACAAAAAATTTATAAGGATTAAAATTAAAACTTAGCATACTTGTACGGATAAAAAAAGGGTTTTATGTCTTTTCCCTAACTGGAAAGACTTTCTATCTCAGACACAAAAATCGTGAGGTCAACCAAAGTAAAAAATAATAAGAAAAAACTTTAAAAATATTTCTCTGAGTTTTTTCAATTATCATTTATCTTTCTCACAAATTTTTTGAATTATTTATACTTTTATTTACTTTTTTATCACTTATTCTATTTACTTAAAAAAAAATTATTCCTAAGTGAGGGAGATAAATGATAAAAAAACTTTAAATCAAGAGATAAATGATTTAAAATTTTGATGAGAAAATAAATGATTAAGTGAAAAGTTACAAAGATTTTTGTGAAGTTTCCCAAATAATAATAATAAGATGGTACAACTTTTGATGGGTGGAGGAGAAAAATTCATAGTTAAGCCTACTTTGAAATTTATGATAAATTAAGTATCCAAATTTTAATCAAAAGGGTAATTATAAAAGGAAAATGTAAAAATAATGTTGCTGAAAAGTTACTGTAGCTGCCTGCAGATACATCGTGGGGGCCACAATTTTATTTTTTTAATTTTGTCATCACACGTCCTCTCTCTTCCTTAGAAAATTGTGATTGTTTGCTGCAGCATGCTACAAACATAGATTATAAAAAGGGTTTATCATCTATCATTTAACATGACCACAAAAATTTTCTACAAAAATTTTCCTACACACACAACATTTTGTGGGGCCCGCAGCAAAAAAAAAAAAAAAAAGACTTCGGCACGCAAAACGAATCTCTATAACATAACACAATCACTTTTCCTACAACATAACTCTTATAAAACCCTTATAAAAAGGATAAATGTTGTTGACTTGTTGCACAAGATTTTCCTATCTTGCTAGGGTAGAGATGAAGATAATATTTTTAAATATTAGTAATTTTGTTTTTTCTCTTTACGGCTGGGGAGGGAAGATGAAGAGGTTTTTAAGCCTGGCTTAGAATTTATGATAAATTATGTATTCGATTTTTTTCTTTTCGAAATCATGTATTCAATTTTTAATTGTAAGAGTTCTTGCAATATTTTTTAAAATGCCGACCATTTTATCAAAGGGTGGGGAAGGAGGGGGGAGGAAATGGTTATATGATCATATCAATTAAATATTTCCCAAAAATAATACATATGAAGATTATGAAAACAAGCTTCCCTCGAACTTAATAGGAAATGACTCAATGTATCACAGTAATAACCTCGTTTTGTGTCTTCATGTGGCCACTCCAAATATATATTCGCTCTTCATTCTTCAATGGAAAGAGTATGAAAATATTTTGAAAAAGCAGTCGCTACAGATTAAGAAGACATACCTTTGATTTTTGTTTTGCTCCTCCAAGAAATGAAAGTAAAAATTAAAAGTATCGCGACAATGGATGAAATGGTGCTTGCAATCACAACCAACTTTTTCTTTGAATAATCTTTTCCGTCTTGATCTTCTTCACAGAAAAGGTGAAACAAATAGTGAATGCGTGAAGCACGATAAGCACGGGAGTGAATACTCTCATGTGTTAATATATATGATCTTATTTAGAGAAATTATAACCATACAAAAATGAATAAATGATAATAAGCGAAGAGAGAAAAAAAAATATTGAGATAAATAATTACAAAATAATAATCGTTGATTCATTTTTGCATGATTATAATTTATTAACATGACATGAAAATATTAATTAAAATATGAGGATCCATTTCCGATGATTATTGAGAAGAATTATGTGCTATTACTTTAAACAAACATTTCAACCAAAAAGTTTAATATCTTATATTGTTTTATATTATATTTCACTAACTCCTCCTGTTACACAAGAATTCATTGAATAATACACCAACCCTCTTATCGGTGTTATCGAATTTTTGACCATTCGGGTACGAGGACTTAATAAAATTACTTGAACCCAAAAACTTAAAAACACATCAATCATTTCATATTATATTTTTGAGAAAAATATTTATCCTTTTAAATAACACAATTTATATCCTTTCACTCTTACAAAGAGGTGAGGCTCACACCTTTATTTTTTTTGTCAACTCTCTCTCCTCCTTTATCTATCTCTTTTTCTCTTTTAAAATGACACAACTTTATATCTTTTAAAATGACAGACACTTTACCCTATATTTTTATGACAATTAACATTGTATGAAATCAAAACAGAAGCTCGTGTATACCTGTATCCAACACCGCCGATCTAATATAGAGATCTTGTCCACCATTTGCCATCTGTCTTAGATCTATCAGATCACCAAACCAAATGGCACAGCCACTACCTTCTCTCCTGATATCTGAATTTGCAAAAGCAGAACAGGAACAGTTTTCCCAGCATTTGTTCTTGCATTCATCAAGTGTCATACTTTCATTTACCCATGAACTTTTAGTGTCAGGACCCTTCATGTTACTGAATTTGAGGAAACCATCTCTGCCCTTCACCCTGCAGCTCCATGTTTTGTTTTGCGCGCATCCTTGTGTCCAATCCATTTGGGTCCAATTATTGGGTGATTTTGGCTCGAACCCATTTATACACCTGCAAATAGGGGACTCACCAATGACACAGTTCCCAAACGCACCACAAACATTATAGTTGTCACAGTAATCAGTTGGTATAGTCGAAGACATCCTCCATGTTTGAGTAACATTACTCCATGTTAAGCGCTCACGAGCATACGTTGTTTGGTTCATGACAATTCTTGAAATCACTGACTTGTCATTGAGGCTATATGTGATGTACAATTCATCCTTATTGAACACGTACGTGTAATTGACAACTGAATTGAACATCAATGATGGTGAACCGCTGAAATGAATGCCATCAGAAGGACCACTTCTGGAATACTCTTCAGAGCCTTTCCACATCACATCTTCAGGGTTATTGGTAGGTACCAAACCCCATGTAAAGTCTCCAAAAGATGGATCATCCCAGTTCTTCCAAGCACTTAAACGCCTATTAAGGCCAGTTTTGAAGTCCCATCCTAACTTCATTCCTGGCAATAATGTATCACAAGGGTAGTCAAAGCTCTGCCACAAGTAATTTTGAGGACTATTGTCTTTTTGATCATCTGTTAGAACCAAGTTGCCAGAATCTAAGAGTTGTGCTGTGACACCTAATCCCTTTGTTGTTGCATTTGTTGACCAAATAACAGTGTTGTTCTGCTTGAGAAGAACAAGGTTTCCCTCTGTGCTTATGATCAACATGCTTGAGTTGTCTTTGATTGGATTGTCACGGTTGGCAACCCAAACAACAGTTCTAAATGGGATATTTTTGTACCATATTCCAACGTAGCGGTTTGTGGAACTACCTGGACTGAAGAAACCCAACTCAAAGCTTCCATCGTTTGAAACCAAGGTCTTGCCATCTGGAAGTGACTGAAACTGGGTAATGGTATCTGTTGCATCAGAAATTTTAAAGAAGGAGGAAAGTAGGTTGGCAACAAGAAGGATAATAGGAAGAATGGCCATTTTACGTTAATGTCTGGCCATAATTACAGGGAGTTAAATATATAAGTTGAAGTCTGTAGTATGGTTTCATGTGTGTTCCATCAATTCAATGGATGGAATCAACCGAATTTAAATATCCCAAAATTTCCCACTTGACAATGAAATTATTATTACGGGACATCACTTTAAGCCAAGGCAGTATATTGGCTTAGGATTTTTAAAAAAAAAAATTGAACTAAATTTTTTTATAAATTTTAAAAGACTATTTAGAATTGGAGAGACTTTAAAGACTTTTTTAAAAGACTTTTTTTATCATCAAGATTTCATAAGATTGGATTTCAAAAGGATTTTAATAGAATTTATAAGATTTGAAAGGACAATATGAATTTATAAGATTTTAAAAAATCATATGAACTTTTAACAAACATTCAAAATTACAAGAGTCAATAAAAAAGGGAAAAGTTATACTTACAACCTATTTTTGTTTACAAAATTTTACAACTATATTTTAACCGTTGATTTTCGTCAATCAACGGTTATCATTCATTGCAAATTAAATATTAATTAATGAGTTTGATTTGCGAAAATAATAACCATTGATTGACGAAAATCAACGGTTAAGATATGGTTGTAAAATGTTGTAAACAAAAATAGGTTGTAAGTATAACCTTTCCCATAAAAAAAAAACAAAGAAATGCAATGAAATTAATAAAAAAAAAGTAAAACCTAATATAATTTTCTCAATCAGTAAAACATAATATAATTTTTAACAAACATTCAAAATTACTAAACAACAGCTTTTCACATATCTAATGGGTTAAAAATTATATTCTTCATTTGGTATCAAAATTATGCATATATGATTATAAGATCCAATTTTTTTAATTATAAAAATAATTCTAAATTTGCATATAGACCTAAAGCTCATGATAAAATTTCGTTTGGAATTTTTTGCAATTGATCTTGAAAACCTTGGGATTTTTGTTTTACGTGATGAGAGTTTTTTTTTTCTTTTTTTTTTGGGTAAGCCATGATGAGAGTTTTCTAACCATATCTAAAATTTCTCAAAAAATTTTCAATCGATACATTGAAACCTTAAATTGTTTTGGGGCTTTTCATAAACAAGTTTTTAGTTATCTATTGACACAAAAATTGTTTGAAATTGTTTTCTATAGTGAAGGAATTTCGTTCATGAATGTATTGTTACGAAATATAGGGTTCATATTATGAAAGTTTTAATCTTTCTTTAAATTGATATTGTTTCATTGATGTAAAACGAAAATTGGTTTGAGGGTTTTAGTTCCCCTGTTATTTTTTCACTGTTTTATGTTGTTTTTAATACAAAAATTACACGTTTTTGTGCCAAGAAAAACCGCGACCCATAGCTTGAAAATCACTTTTTAAACTTCCAAAATTTCTCAAAAATGGCTCAAAAATATGTTATTTTTGAGATAGATTATATTAAAATCTCGTTGGTTTGTTGTTTCTGGATTATTTTGTGAAGAAAATCGCTCAAAAATATGCTTTTTTTGTAGTTTTGATGAAGCTCCCATGAAGGAACCCAATTTCAAGCAATCAACCTACCAAAAGAAGAAGAAAACACTGCAATAGAAGAATCTCAAGAAATTCTAGGGGTTAAGGTGAGATTGTGAGAGAGGCACCCTATTTATATTTTTCACTAAAAAGTCTCACGAAATCCACATTAATAGAAAATCAATTAAAATCGTCGGATTTTTGAATACCACTAGATTGTGATTACATTGTTTAAAATCCTGATTGAATACCCACGGATTTGGACGGATTCTAAAATAATCCTTTAAAATTCTAATCGAATACCACGTGACCTTTTTTCAATACATTAAAATTCTAATCGAATACAAACGGATATTTTTGTCCAAAAATAATCCATTAAAATCCTTTGAAATCTCAATCCAATACACAGCCCTAAAGCTAAAAAAAGCGTTTAAAAATAAAGCTAAAATTTATTTGTTAATTATATTAAAATTTAGCTTAAAAGCACGTAATTCAAGAAAATTATCTCTCTGTCTCTATAGCTCTTTATTTAAAAAAAACACACAATTCAAGAAAAAAAGATAAGAGCTTTAAAAAAGCTCCTTTTAGGAGTTTTTAGCTTTTTTCTTCGTTATAAAAAAAAAGAGGTTTTCATTATACGATTTTTTTCAAAACCTATTTAGTCTAACTTATACTTATAAGTTGCTTCTAACTTAAAAATAAGAGGATCCAAACACGTAACACTTTCCATCTCTTGATAGTTTGAATTGTTCGTTTCATACATCGTTTTTGTGCTTAGTTGACTATAGGTTATATATTAGTCATCTTGTCTTCATTTTCAGTTGACTTTTATGTTTTATTTCTATTTATTTATTCTATTCAAATATGTATATTTGAATTGTTGCGTTACATAATTTATTTATTTGAAAGATAAGATATTTTTAAAATAAATAAAGCAGTAAGTTCATGTTTAGAAAATGAGTCATACACGTTAGCCTTGTTCATGAGTTCAACATAGAACACGCAATAGAATGTGAATTTAAACTTGTTTGAGATTGAAACCGTGTGAGTGTGTGCGTGAAGCTTCACCCATAGAGCAGTGCGACTTTTATATCAATTTATTGATTGATTAATATATTGTGCTTTTGAACGTGACAAGAATAAATCATTTGGTGACTAAAAAAACTGTTGGAAAGAATATCTTTAGAATATCTTTATTATTTGTAAAGATCTATATCCTTATTTCATTAGAATTTAGGTTAGGCATGAGCTAAGTTCATTAGTGTTTCTTTATAGATTGTATTCTCCTGAATCAATTCAATATACAGATTTATTCTATATTCCTTTCGTCTCTTGTTTCTCTACATGGTATCAGAGTCTAACAAGAGGACTCCTTGTCTGCCTTTTCTTATTTCTATTTTTCATAATTTTAATATGGTAGTAGAGAGATATCACCCATCGTGAGGGATTGACCTTCCTAACTTTTCTCTTTCTCTTTTTCTCTCTGCTTCTCTTAGTTTCTTCTTCTCGTTCCTGCCTTCGCCGCTGCAAGTGTTGTGCTCCATAACCGTCGATGACCCAGCCACCGTCTAGCCCTCTGTCCGCTTTCTCCGCCACCGGTGTCGTTGTTTCCGTCCGCGATTGTCGTGCTAGTGTTTGCACGTTGTCTCCCTCTTGGTTACGTGTCGTTCCAGTCGGACCTCCAGAGATATGTTCGTTCTTCATCTCTATCTTCCTGGATATGTTCACCGGACATCCGTCTCCGCTGTGCTGAAAAATCTGAGAAAACTATCTCTCTCTCTCTAACAACCAAATCAAGTCATTGTTCTGACCCCGTCTCTTTCCTCCGGCCGCATCATCCTTTCTTCTCCGGCTGAATCTTGTTTCTTCTGGCTATGTTTTATTCTTCTTTGTTGATTTATTGTTTTTATTTTCTTTTATAGCTTGTATTTGGCCATTTTATTTTATTCCCACATATGTTTGTGGTGTTATTCAAGTCTGATTTGACTTGTATTTGAATTATTTTTGTCATTGTTTGGCTTTATTTTGGCCTCCGATTCAAGGGGAGCATTTATCTCCATTGTTGCTTGATCCACAGATTATTCCATTTACAATGGCTCTGTCGGCTTGTATTCCAATTACAACATTATCCTTTTCCCAGCCCTTCATCAGTTTATGTTTATCCCAACCCTTCCTTGACTGATGTCTTTTTCTTCCTTTGTTGATGTCCATTCCAACATCGTCTCTTTACCAGCACTTCAAACCGATGGTCATTCCAGTCGATTTACTGTCGATTTCTCTGACTTATATTTTGTGAAGCTTCGTTTTAGTTTTCTTTCTTCCCAAGATGAAGTGTCCCTCCATCTTGAGGGGGAGTATTCGAGATATAGATAATATTTATTTTAGTTTATTATGTTTGTTATTTTTCTTTAGGGTGAGTTGTAGAGTTGTTACAACCCCCACTCATTCATTTTGATGTTATGTTTCTTAGTCTTTCTTGATCAAGCTTATTGCTTATGATCTATACACTCCAGCTTGAGGAGGAGTATTGGAAAGAATATCTTTAGAATATCTTTATTATTTGTAAAGATCCATTTCCTTTTTTCATTAGATTTAGGTTAAGTATGGGCTAAGCCCATTATTGATTTTTCATATATTGTATTCTCCTGAATCAATTCAATATACAGATTTATTCTATGTTCCTTTCGTCTCTTGTTTCTCTACAAAAATAATCAAGGCTAAGATGTTTCCATCATACTAAATGTTTTGTCACAAGAGGAGTGAATGTCAAAAATGATTGTACGAACATGAAATCAGATGATATGCAAAAGAATTAAGTGCATGTTTCGTAGCATGCTTTTTCTTGAAATCTTGGGAAAGTGGGGTGGGGGAAAATATTTTTCCACGTTTGTTATGAGGAAAAGTGAAAATATTCTAAAAAAAAAACCCCATCATTTCATTTTTAACTACAGATTCCCAATCCAAAATACCATGTCACCCATGGTATTTTTTTTCAACCGCTTGGGAAAGGATTAAAAAATTTTATCATACGAAAATGCTTGTTCTCTCTCTCATTCGTTGTTCTTCTTCCACAGTCACAATCAAAAACACTATAACCATGTTCTCTTTAGTGTCTGTTATTGCGGCACCACCAAGACCCCTGTATGGAGGGATGGACCCGCAGGACCTAAAGTGATTCCATTTCCTCGATCTCACATCAGATCACACGAGTGTGCATGAGAATCTATCCTTGATCTGATTCTTTTTTTTATTTTTTTTATTTTTGATTTTGTAGTCACTTTGCAACGCTTGTGGGATCAAAAGCAGGAAGAAGAAAAGAACAATTTTGGGGATAAGGAAAGGAAGCAACGAGGATAGAAGAAAAGGGAAAACGAGCAGCAATAGCAGCAAGGTTGGTGGTGGTGGTGGTTTGAGCTTGAAGCATAGTCAGAGACTATTTGCTTTCGGGAGGCAGGTTTTGATGCAATCGCATTGTAAGAAATTGGGAGAGGAAGAACAAGTTCCAGTTTTGTTAATGTCGCTCTCTTATGGACGTATGACTGACTTGGCGATCTGACGGGACATTAGGAGCCTTGGCGATTTGGAGGAAAATCTGATCATCTGGCAGTCTGACTAACTAGTAGGACATGTCTCTTTGGTGATTTGATGGGACATTATGAGCCTTGGCGATTTATAGGAAAGCTTGGTTGTTTAGCGGTCTGACTAACTGGTAGGACATTTGACTCCTTAGCAACTTTCAGAGTGACCACGTGTCTTTTGAAGGGGAGGTGGCTTTTCAGTTTTCGAGGGTTTGTAATGATGGGTAACCCCATCATTGCTATTAACTAGTGGACACCCTAACGTCACGAAACGCGGTGCATTAAAAGCGTAGTGAGGAATGTCTTGTCATGCTGCAATTACCAGAGGGTCCTTTATCTGGGCCATTTATTGTCTAACGGTTGCTCCCATCACACGGTTGACACTTGTGAGACGCTACACGGGTACGGGGGATTTTACCTCTGAGGTTCTATTTAAAGGGATTTTTTCTCTCTTTGTTATCATCTTTACTACTCTTTGCTCTTCGCGTTCTTGACTTCTCTCTTCTGGTTTCATCTTCTCTGTGTGAGCATTGTGCTAGTCTTTTCCTCCTCTATTCTCCTTACTTCCCATCGTCTTCGTTGCTGCATGTATAGTGTTATTAGCTTCTGACTGTTTTGCATTGTAACTTCTCTATTTCTTTCTTGCGATGGTTAAGTTGAGTGACCTGACTGGTGAGACCTTGCCTGAGTTGGAGTTGGTTGTTAAAGAGGAGGAGTTTGAGGATGCTTTTGAGGCACTTGATGGTTGTGTTGTGGGAGAGGCTATGCGGGCGTTCCTCGCTAGCCGTGCTGGTGAAGGGAGAAGTGCTTGCTCTCGCTGTTCGTTGATCTCAGGGGTTGAGTTCTTACCTCATGGTAGGATACCTGAGCTTCTGGGCTTCAGCGAGGAAGAGATCCAAAACCTCTTGCCCGAGAGGGCTTTGGGACCTATGGTTCCATATTTTGGCGAGGCTTATGGTCTGGTTTTCGTGGTGGGCGTAGGGCAGCACCTGGTGGGAAGACTTCTAGATCTGGTAGACGTCGGTCTGGCGAGTCTCGGAATGGTGGTGGGCACTGTCTTCCTCAAAGGAGGTGTTTCGGTTCTTCTGGTCGTTCTCCTCATGATCATAGGTCTGGCTCGCGTCGCCGTTCTTCGCGATGCTCTGCTTTTGGTGTGGGGCAACTTATTCTCCCTTTATCCTCTGTCATCCATAAGACTCGAAACCGCCCTTTAAAGTTGTATTACCAACCTTGCCCTTTAGAAATAATTCACCCGACTGTTGAATCGTCTGTCGCCTTGTGCACATCTTGTGGCCATATTCCTCCAATTCCTAAGTCTTTCCACCTCCGTAAATATGTCGAGTCGTGTCACAATCGGTTGGGCAGGTATCATCTGAAAGATGCTCGACTCATACACTATGGCGTGTGGGATGCCATCGCAGAAGATTTGGGGCTTTACAAGGTGCCACCCCCTTGGTGGCCTTCCCCACTCAGCTACTCATACTTCTACACCTCCATTTCTTCTGAAATCTCTGATTCTTCAGGTAAGTTCGCCATGTGTGTGAACTATACTTGGTTTGTGTTTCTTGGCGAGGGGGAGCATTGGCGGTGTAGGGGGTGAGTGTTGGGCGGAGTGGAGGGGTTGCGATTGACTTTTTGGAGTGACTTTCCTGACTTCTCTTGATGCTAATTGCCCTGTTTGCCGTTTGACGGTGTATTTGTCCTTCCTCCCAGGTTTTGGTGGTGGGTGATTTCTTAGCTAAACATGGCGGGTGACCAACCTCATGAACGTTTTGCAGCGAGGAACTGGGTGGATGCAGATGTGGCGATTACTTTTTCTTGTTTTACGGACTCCTCTGTTTTGGGCGTCTCTTATCGATCGGAGGGTAATTTTGATCTGACTGACGGTGGTGCCAATGACGACGAATGGCAACTGTGGTCGGTTAAAGAGACTGATCGAGTTTGTGACAAACCACGCCGTGAAGGGGTTGCCAACTGGCGTTTCTTTGCATATAAGAATCATTTTACCGACCAGAAAGTTAGGTTTACTCTTTCTGAATTTGAAATGGGAGTGTTGAGCCATCTACGAGTTGCGCCTTCATAATTACATCCTAACGCTTGGGCGTTTGTTCGGGTGTTTGAGAAAATATGCCGGTATTGTGGATGGGTATGTTCTGTAAGGTTGTTCTTCTACTGCTTCCAAGTGTATTTGTCGATTAAGAAGTTGGGTTGGGTTTCTCTAAAGGCGGGGTCTAAGTTAAGGGCGATATTTACAACGTACACTGATTCATACAAGAACATGTGGGAGACTTTCTTTTGGGTACAGTCTGTACTTGGCGAGGGTGAGGTACCTTTCTTTGTTGATCGGGAGAGTGGGGCAAGTAGGATTGAGTGGTACTGGTCCAAGACACACTACGAGATTCCCGCCAGCTGCTATTCTTTTGGATATGACACTTTTTCACGGGAGGAGGGGTTGGTGGTTCAGTTGTTTGATTGCCTCAGGGTGCCTTTGAGGTGATGGCCTACATAGAAGGTGTTATGCTATGGAGGTGTGGCGGTGACTTGTATCCTTTAAGATGGCATTTTTCATAACTGTTTGTCTTCGATCTTTGTTAAAATTTATGTATATTTCTTTATTTGCAGTTGAAAGCTTGTCGATGGATGCCTTGAAGGTTGCTCGTGAGGCGGCTGCCCGGGTTAGAGCCGCAGGCGGCGGGGTTCCGTCAGCCGTTCCTGCTCCCGCCCCAAAGGTAAAGATGCTGACAAAGGAAAAAAAGAAAGCACTTCAGTATCGAAAAAGAAAATTCGATCTGTAGCAGATATTCCAGCCGAGGAGCTGGCGAAAAGGGCCACAGGACTTATCGTTAAGGAGGTACAAGACAAGGCGGGGGGTTTGTCGACTAACAAGTCTGCTTCTAAATCTGTCACGCCTGGCCAAGTATGCTCCGTGCAAAAGAGACCTGCTGATGAAACTCTGATCCCGCCAAGGGGTGTAAAGGCGGTGAGGACTGAGCCAACTGAGTCTGGGCAGTCAGCCGGCGCCGATTGTTATGCCATGGATGGTTTCTCTGATGGCCTTGGTGACGGTGGGGTGATGGTGATATGTACCCCAGGCGAGGAAAGGGCTGTTGTGACGGCGGACGCCAAAGAACCTTCTTCATCTGCTGTGATCCCTTTGACTAGGGCATTGATGCTGTCAGAAAGGGATCTCAATTCGAGTGTCCCCAAGCCGATGCTGAATGTGGCGGTGCCAGAACAAATAAACTACCAAGAGGTTGTGGAATGCACACAAGTAATTATTGGTCGTGTTTTGGTGGTTCAAGAAGCGGCCCTTGCTGCCGGTCGTCGTTGCTCTGCGCGGGATAATTGCCTGGCTCACATGGGGCGCGAGGCTGAGGATTTGACCGTCAAAGTAGGCTGGCTTGGAAAGGAGGTACATGACGTAACACCCCGTGTATACCCGGCTTGTTATCATGTTATCGTATTAAGCTGCGCTTAATTAAAAATATGGAATAAACTTTTCCTTTCAATTATGAAATCATTATTAATTACCAAGTTGATTACTTAATCCTTTTTTCAAAACATTGTCTGTATGTAAATTACAATAAAAGCTATATATACTGAATAACCTCATATATAAATAAGTGAGTATCTAGATCACGGTACTACAACACGTAGTCCAGACCATAATCCTGATACAATTATACAACTCGAATCTAAAACAACATAGTCAAATCAATGTGGCGTGGACAATCCTCATGCTCACCAGATAAGGCAACAAAGCCCAACATAGTCTCAATTCATAAAACAATATAAAGGCAATAAAACAGAATAACAACCAGGCATATCAGCACAACATCAAATATCTCAACTTAGCTCCGGCTTCCTGCCGCCCGGGGTATCAACCTCCGAGTTACCTGAACCTGAAAATGTTCCCCAAACGTGGTGTGAGATCTCTAAACAAAAATCTCAGTAAGGCAAGGGGTCCTCAAGGATTTCTCCACCCCAAGCTCACTTACATGTGCAATATAAGTTCTAAAAGCAGTAAGACAGTATAAGTTCCAAAATCAGTGCAATGCAGCAGAATAATCATGTTATGTATGTCAACTATTCTACTGGCCAGAGAAATACAGGATTTATTTACGTCTATTACCTACAATCAGTGCAAGACACCACTTGCACCCACCCACAGAATGACCCTATGGTATGTCTCCTACATACACAGGATTACGGTCTAGGTGGAACAACACATGCATATCATAAGGCATTTGCACAAAACAGCTCAACAACATTTCAAAATTAATACATGAAAACACATCATGCATATAAACCATCCCCCTATGGGGTATGGTGGAACCAACAATGGTTAAACCGAGGACACGAAAGCTTACCTCACAAGCTAACTATCCAACCAAGTCCAAGGTCCACAAACAGAACTCTCACAGTCTGTTTATACCAACAATTATATCAAAAATCATAATCTACAAGCATATGACATAACGACAACGCTTTCCTTTTACGTTTCATGTCTTTAGGCTTCTCACAAAGCCATAAGCCCTTAATCACTCTGATTTTGACTTAGTTAATTATTATAGAGGTTCAACTTAACCAATCTAGGGTCCACAAACCCCAATTACAGTTCTGTATGAACAGAACAGTCACTGTCTCGAAATTCTTAGAATATTCGGATATTTGTCGGGGACATATCCGGATATCCATATCCGGATATTTCGCGACAGAATGCAGTTCTACATTTTCGCGAAGATATCACTCAAAGGTTCAACTTTTACCATTGTTATACGTCCAAGAATTCATTTTTAGGCATATATAGGTCAGTGTACATACTAGTTACTTAACCAACTCATTAATATGCCAAGACTCAACCTTTAAACAAGGAAAACTCATGATCAAGGTAAGGAACATACCCAAGGCTTCAAAACAGAAGCTAGAAGTGCTTTTGGAGCTCTCTATGAAGCCCCAATAATCTGACTTTACAAAA